ATTTGTTTTTAGATTTTTAATTTAACCTGTCTTTGATATACTAAGTCTAGTTTAAAATTTTTTCTTTTTAGTTAATTTCAGTAGTCTAGTTAGTAATAGTTCTTATTTAAAGATTCTTATTTGTTTAGCTTTTTCATATTAGTATTTGTTTTTTAGATTTAGTCTTTATAGTAATATTATCAAAATTTTGTATTATCTTTCTATTTAAGTTTTTTCAAATAAACTTCTGTTTTTTTAATTTTATAAATTTATATAGTTATAAGAACTTATTTTTAATTTGTACTATTTAGTATTAGTTTGCATTTTTTTGTATAATCAAGATTATACAGATTTTTTATAATTTGTTAGTTATACTAATGCAATCATAATTACAAATATTTTATTCAAATTGATTAACAAAAAACAGTTGTTATAATACAGATAAAAATTAAAATTTTTGCTAAAATATATATAAAAAATAATAGTAACAAAAATTTAATTTAATATACAAGTTACTAGTATCTAAATTAGAAAATTAGTAATACTAACAAAATTTTAACTTGTAATAAATATTTATTACAGATTTTGAATTATTGTTAAAATATTAACTAAAAATAAAAAATTATAAGAATTATTAATTCAAAATTACTAATTTAGGAGTTATTATAGATAATTTAAAAAAATGCAGAAAACTAATTTTAGTTTAAATATAATAAATTGTAATATATTAAAGTTAATATAAACAACAAAGCCTAAATCTTCTTATTAAACAAAACAGTTTAAAAACAATATTATTTTAAAATAATAAGAACTCTAATTGCAAGTATTAACCTAATATTATAATATGCAAAATATGTAACAAAATAATATAAATAATTAAAAATTAAAACCAAATTTAATAATTCAGATTTATAAATTATTAAAATAATTTTAATTTTTAAATAAAATTTATTTTTATCTATCTAAATTAAATAAAAACTAATAATTACTACTAAACTAAAAAATATATATATTTACATAGTAAGCATTAAATATTTTAATTAAAAAAATTTTTTTGATTTTATAACTTAGTAAGTAAGCTTTCAAACTCTTTATAGACAAAATTAATAGTTCAAATTAGACTAAAGATTATTTTGTTTTTTGTAACCTATTAAAGCTATTAATTAGATGTAAACTATATAGAAAAGTCTAAATAAAAATACAAATTTGAAATAAAAAATTTCAAAATAAGATCCAATTATAGAGTACAAGTATTATGTATAACAAGCAAAATTACAGAAGATTTTGGATATAAAAAGATTGTATATATAAGTTCTTAAAATTAAAATAGTACTAACATCCTTACATTTTCTAATCTATATAATACTAACATCTTTACAATTTTTTTTTTTTTTAACTTTAGCAGTCATGCTAGTACTTTATTAGAATTTTTGAAACTATACATATTATATAGAATTTTTTTGATATATAAGTCTAGTATTACTTGGTCATCTAAATGATACCTAAGTACAACCTGTCATACTATCTTAGTTAGAGATAGACTGCTCATCTAACTGCCACTCTACAATAGGATATCACTAATTTAATAATATCTTTTTATAGAGAAGCAAAAAACAAAAAAAAATTTTTATGTAAAAAACAAAACAGAGGTATAAAAGTAAATGATAAAAAGATACAAATTAAGAAATAAAAGAAGAAAGTGAAAAAACAAGAAAAAAGAAAATATGTGAAACTTACAATTTACAAATATTAAATGGTTACAATTGTATGCCTATGGCAGGTTTTTAAAAATTATAAACTATACTATATAGAAATAATTCTATTATTTTTTTATTTATTTAATTATTTAACAAAAAACCATATAGGAAAGAAAAAATCTTTGATTTGATCATAAAGGGTCAGTATAGAGTACTAGTCAGTCTAGAGGCAGTATTTTTAGGTTTTTAGTATTTTGAGACATGTATATAGTCATGTTTGTATTATTATATTGTTTCTGATCTATGTCATCAACAAATCCATTTAAGAAGTAAATACTGCTAACTGTTTTGGTAGTTTTACATGTTAATCTTTAAAAGGAGGTAAGCTAAATCGTCTACTTTTACAAAATTTCCTTGAAAAAAAGTAAAGACAAGAGGTGAACCAACTTTGTAACTTTTGTAAATTCTTAACCTTTATAGGTGTTCCTTGTAGATTTTATATTTATATAGAACTAATATATCTAACTTTGTTGTTTATTTGATAAAAAACTTTTGACTTTCATTAACTACTTCTTCTATAGTCCCAAAGTGCATTTAAACTATTACTACAAAGCTGCAACTTCTTTTTCAACTCTATTTCAATATTCAACTATGCATGTACAGTATTCTGGAAAAGTTTTTATAAAGTTTAATATATTAACTATATCATTTTTCTGTAGTTCAGCTTTTTGAAAAGTTTGGTTCAAATAATTGTCAGAAAAAGTTATGTTCTGTATGTTAACATCTTTATATTTAACTTGTAAAGTACTTGCTTAGAAAAATAAATAATAGATTGTATAAATAAGTTCTAATTAGGATCTAAAAAAAGAATTTGATTTGAAAAATAATCTAGAAATAACTAAAACTAAAATAATAAAAAAAGTAATAAATATAAAAATAATCTATAGTAAAAAATTGATTTGATCAAATTAAAAATATCTTTGATATAGTTAAATAATTTGATTAAAAAAAGAAAATCTTGAAGATTGATGTATACTTTTTTGTACAAAGAAAAAACACTAAATTAGATTCTGATTATACCTATATAAAAGTCTATAATAAACAAAATTAAAATCAACTAATCAATATAAAATAAGATTTGTAAAATAGTATAATATTATTAAGATTAGTATATTTTTCTGAATATAATCAGAATTAACTTACAAGTATTATTAAATAAACTAAAAGTTTGCAATAAATAATAATATAATAAGTTTTGATTTCTATTATAAAAAAATACATCTTGTTAAAACTAAATGCAATACTAAGTTATTGTATAATATTAAGATCTAAAATATTTGTAAAAATATATAAAAGTAATAGATTTAACTTAAGATACAAATTAGTCAAAAGGCTAATAATAGTAACAAGTCTGATTTGAAATATAAGTTCATTGTAGATTCTAAAGTATTGTCAAAAAAATCTTAAAAAAACCAATAATAAGTATACCAAAAATAGAAGATCAAAGAAATTAAATATATTTGAATAAGACTAATTTAGAAGTAATACAATAACAAAAAAATAAGAAATATGAAAAACAAGATATTATTAAATATATTTAAAACTAGATAAAACATGTAAGTAAAACACATGAATACAATTATAAAAAACAAAATATCTTTGATATTAGAATATCATAATAAGTTCAAAAGTATCTTTATCTGTATAACAATTTAATAATATGCTCTGATTGCAAATAATTATTAAAATAACTGCATGCAAACATATAGTAGACAGACTTAGATGCCATATATATAACTAATAATGTAAAATTAGGATAGTTAATATAATACTAGTAATAACTTTTTCTAATGATCATCTAAACCAAACTTTTCAAAATGCTGAACTACAGAAAAATGGTATAGTTAATATATTAAACTTTATAAAAACTTCTCTGGAACATTGAGCATTCATAGTGGGCATTAAAATAGAGTTGAAAAAAAAGCTATCACTTTGTGATGATGATTTAAAAGAGTTTTGAAATCATAGAAGAAGTGATTAGTGAAAACCAAAAGTTTTTTATAAAATAAACAACAGTATTAGATATATTATTTCTATACAACTATAAAACTTACAAGAAACTCCCAGAAGAGTGAAACATTCACAAAAGTTATAGTTTGATTCACCTCATGTCTTCTTTTTTTTCAAGAAAAATTTTGTAAAAAGTGGATGTTTCAGTTTATCCTCTCCAAAAGATTGACATGTAAAACACCAAAACAGCTAGTAGTATTTACTTGCTAATTAGAATTGTATAAGCAATACAACAATACAAATATGACTTATATATGTGACTCAAACTACTAAAACTCTGTGAAATACTGTCTTTGAACTAACCAGTACTTATGTCGACTCTCTATATTTAAGTTGAAGTTTTATTCTATATAATTTTTATTAAATATTTTAGTAAATAGAAAAATAGTAGTTATTTCTATTTATTATAGTTTATAATTTTTAAAAGCCTGATACAGGTTTATAATTGTGACTATCTGATAGTTGTGTAATGAAAATTGTACATATCTTTTTTTTTATTTCTCACTTTTTCTTTTTTATTTTTTTATTTTTTGCATTTATATCTTTTATCATCTATTTCTATACCTCTGTGTTTTTTTTTTATATAAGTTGTTTTTTGTTTTTGTTTATTTCTCTATAAGAAGATGTTATCAGATTGACAATATCCTATTGTAGAGTAGTGATCAGATGTGACCCCTGATGTACTATAATTTCTTTTGAAGTTAAACAGTCAGTGTAGACAAATCACTTATAGGGACTTATAGAAGCATCCATAAGATGCTGAACCAGAATTTATAAACTAATTTGTATGTATATAATACAAAAATAAATAATAAAGGTGATCAGCAAGACTACTCAAGTGAAGGAAAAAAATATATATATATAATACTAGTAATATTTAATCTTGTAAATATAACTGTAAATTGTACTATATCAAATTTAAAAAACCCAATAAATCAACTAATAATGTTACTAAAATATAAAAAAAAAAAATTAAATACAAAAACAAAAATTTTTAACCAATTTTTTAAAAAACTTGTATCATTTTTATAATTGCAAACCCATTTTTTTTTTATGAAAATTGCACGTTTTATATTGTACATTTATTCTGGTTTATATAACGTTACTACGTATTATATTTACATAATCCTTGTACAGTCAATCATCTTAATTTTGGCCAATCAGAGCCTTTGATGATTAGCCAAAATTTTCTTAATGATAATCAGTATCTTAAATAAAAGATGGAAAAAACAATTAACTGTCAAAGCCGTAATCATGACCAAACAAAGAGTTTCTACTTTTAACAAGAAGGTAGCAACTTATGAACAAATACAGCCACCTCATAGTTGGGAAGAGGTTTATCAAAGTATTAAAGACTACAGAAAAACTATAGTTGCTCCTGTTGATACAATGGGATGTGAAAGATTGGCTGAAGAACCGAATGATATTATTACGCCTCAGGTTTGCTCAAATATCTTAGTGTATTTTTTTTAACAAAGCATACCCAATAACTTATGATACTTTTTTAGACTTCCAGATTTCAGTCTCTCATAGCGTTGATGCTCTCATCACAAACTAAAGATCAAGTTACCGCTGCAGCTATGCAAAGTCTTCGTCAACAACTTAGAGGAGGCTTAAATATAGAAACTATAATGCAAATAGATGAAGAATTCTTAGATCAATGTATTTCGAAAGTAGGATTTCACCGTAGAAAAGCAAAGTAAGGGAATCCCTCTCATTTAGTGGCGCTTAACGAAATAATTTGTAATAAACATTATAGTTATTTTACAGATATATTAAGCAAGCTGCAAAAATCTGCAAGGAAGAGTATAGTGGGGACATTCCCAATAGTGTTGAAGGATTAATGAAATTACCAGGTGTTGGTCCAAAAATGGTTGGTGCCTATTATAAAGATGTCATTATTTAGTAGATTATCGTATCAAATCACGGGTATTAATTAAAGTACCCTGATCCACATGTGCACAAGTTGAGAATTCGTTTCTACTAATATAGACATTGTATACATCTTGACTTTTATTGCTCGTTATATTCGTAGGCTTACCTCTGCATGCACGTGGCGTGGAAACAGTAAATTTCTCTTTTGACCAAACTGTATTCATAATTGACGTCTATTATCTGATTTTTTTTTTTTTTTGAAAAGAAACCAGGGCATTGGTGTAGACGTTCATGTACATCGCATCACAAATCGATTAGGTTGGTGTAGAACTGAAAAGGCAGGACCAGAAGCTACTCGCCAGGTAATGTGTTTTTATACTTCTTTATAATTTTATTTATTTTAAATTTAAATTTTTTAAAGGCCCTGGAATCCTGGCTTCCATACTCGTTTTGGCAAGAAATAAATCCAATGTTTGTTGGATTTGGTCAAATTACATGTTTACCAAGGAATCCCAGATGTTTAGAATGTCCAGTAAGAAACAAATGTCCCTCAGCTAGTACATGAACTAATAAGGCATATACGTTATATGAAACCTATTTTTCAAATAAAAGTGTACAAGCAGAGATCGTCTACTTATATACCAGTCACATGATTTGTCACAAAATTTAACCTCCGTAGCGCAAAACATTCATTTTTGATACTCCTGCGCCTACTTTTTTGATACGTCCAGATGTACCCTAAAATTCCTATACTTTTTTGATGCAATATCACGCGATCCGACCATTACGATTAATACGATTGCACTTTATAGTAACTGGTAATGTAATGGAAGTTCATTTAAATTCTATCCCGACAATATTAATGTTATAAATTTTATAGACAAAAATTTAATATTTAAACGCAAGCTCAGCTTTATTGAAATAACTGTTCAAAGTTGAACACAGCTATCACATGATGTATTATTTAATCAAATTCAACATCTAATGACATTTAAAACATATTGTCGTGAAAGTTCTAGTCGATGCGCAAGTGCTTCTGATTCGTTAGCTGGGCGCAGAGTATTTATAGTTGACGCTGATTGGTAAACTTCAGGTGTTGTAAATTGTAATTGAAGTGGCATCTCGTGTGTTTCAATGGGAAGGCACGTTTTAGTTACTGTATGTTGTTTATTATTTTGTGAAGTTAAAATAGAGGTTTTAGGAATTGGTTTATTATGGTGGCACTATATATAAAGAAATTGAATAAAAATTTTAAAATAGAATATTTAAAATGCAAATAATTCTTTTAATTCTTAAATAATTAAAAAAAAAAAAATCTTGCCTTAATCTTGTGTTTTGTTTTTTTAATATTTGTTATCTTTTTTTTTTGAACTAAGGGTGATGGGCTTTGAATGCAAAATACAGTTAGGCTTAAAGGTAAGTCATTGTTTAATGATCCCTATTGGTTTAGCTCTAATGATTAAAATGGATTTGTACAAACACTTGATTGTATTTTAAAAAGATAAAAAATCTGTGCATCTATAATATCTAAATAGGTTAGATTATTCTTTGTAATAAATTTATATTAACGATAAATATAATATTGGTATATTCTTATCATTATAAAGATCTGATATGCTTTTTCAGTAGATCTAAAATAAATTATTTGTAACATGACAATGTTTGCAAACATTGTAAAATAAACTATTCTATATATAATCCAAACATTGTATACATTTCTTAGTAATGATATTTGTAATATAAAATCTATTTTGCAACCAATAGTTCTATTATTAATTGAATATAAGTAGTGTTTCTTTTACTAATTCTATTGATTTTTTATTATTTAGATCAATATTTTCTAATTCAAGATACTTCTTAATATAATAATAATCTGAATAATCAGATTGCTCAATTAAATCTAGAAGAAAATATAATTTTTCTTGATTTAACTATCAATTTATATCTAATACTATTTTAAATGATTTATTTTGTTATAATAATATAAATTAAATAAATCAATAATTATAATATATCAATATTTATATATATTTATAAAATTTTAAATTAGAATACTTAATAAATTATGTCTTATAACGATCTTTGTTTAGTTATACTAAAAAAAAATATATAATTTTTACTTACTTGTTTAATAGATTATACATTAAAATAAGTAATTAATTCTGCTTTATAAGTTATTTGTTCTGTCTTTTTCTATTTAAATTTTTATATAATAACTTTAATTTATAAAGCTGCTCAATAAATATAGGAAATTGCTATTTTTACCATGATTTTTTGCTATTTTTACTATAGTTACACAAGATATTTTATTTTTAATTTTTATAACAATAATATATATAAACTCTCTAAAATTTAAGAAATATTTTTTTTATTAACTCTAACTCTAAAATATAATAAATAAAGGTTTTTTGAACTTCTAATTAAAGTTGTAGAACTTGTTTTTTTGATTCTAATGATAATTAAATTATTAAAATCAGCCTGGTAAATTCCAAGATATTGGAAATCAAAGATGAGAACAAAAAGATCTACAAATTGGCAGTTACACAATTATTATTGTCAATTGAACTTTGTGTAACTGGTATTTTGTAGATCTTTTTGCTCTTATCTTTGATCTCCAATATCTTGGGATTTACTAAGCCGATTTTGATGATTTAATTATCATTAGAATCAGAAAACAAGGTTTACAACTTTAATTAGAAGTTTAAAAAACCTTTATTTATTAAATTTTAGAATTAGAGTTAATAAAAGAAATTTTAATAGGTTATATATATTATTGTTATAAAAACTAAAAATAGAAAATCTTGTATAACCATGATGAAAATAGCTATTCTTTAAATATAATATTTATTTGTTTGTTTAAAAATTAAAACTTAATTATAAAAAGATATAGTGACTTAGTGAAATAGATAAGTTATCATATCCCCAAATAGTAAGTTGTAAGTTCAAAATCTATCAACATCAAAATTTGGAGAATCACCTATGTAATATATAGATGGTATTATAGTGATGACATTCTGTTAATCAGTTAGAATAGGATATCTGTAATTATAATCACACTAGCATAATTAGCAGGTCTAGACATCTGTATAATCTGTTATACAGAAAAATGCAAACTGGTACTGGATGGTGTAAATCTAAAATAAGTCCTCAGTTATATAAATTTATAAAACTGAAAAGCTGAAGACTACTTGAAAATTCTAAGCAAAAAGGTAATATAGATCTTTGATAGTACTATTGTAAAGACTAGATCTAGAAAATAAATACTAATGTGAAGGATTTGGATAGACAAAAACCTTGAGTGAGGGGTATTACCAATCAGACTGCCAGATTTCAGACCAGAGGAAAAGAATATTAGGCTGGCCTCAATATACTAAGAACAGATTATAATTTTTCTAGACTATTTGAATTAGAAGTTTGAGTTCAAAGCAGAAGTATACTAAATGTACTATAAATATGTTATGAAGTTAGTGCTAGGGTCTGAGTGAACTCTGTAAGAGTAGCCTATATTAGTGTTTTAAAAGTGGGTAAATTGTTAACAATAGGGTCTCTTGCATCTTACTGGCAGGTGATGTACTCTGAAATATATAACAGTCTAGTAACCAGTACAAAAAGAGTAGGTAATCATACTGCTCAGATGGTATACTGGTTAGGTATATATGGAGATAAGTGGAGATTCCAATATGACAGGATAGATGATCAAAGGGTTTAAATAAATAATCTCCTAGTAGGTTATAGATATAGCATCTAGTATAGAACCTTAAGGTGAACTACTTAATTAGGCAACTAAAAGTTGCATGTGTAACTAGCTATACTCTTATCTCTATAAAAATAGTTGTAATAGCTAATTCAATATAAGTCAATAAAATAGTGCTGCAAGTATGGCTTTTAATAAAAAAAAAAAAAGACTCAATCATATAATTCATTCTTTTTGTATAATTATTAGTAGTCATTAAATTTGTATTATTTATAGTTAAAAATTATTTAATATTAATAAAATGTAATCATCATTTATTACACATTTAATTTTTATTCAAATTCTTAATTAATAAAGACTTTTGCTTCTAAGTAAATAAAAGCATAGTAATAAATTTTTTATAATAATCTACTATTTGAAATATCTTTTTTTTAGTATAATATTAATCTATTATTATTTTTTTTGGTGTTAAGGTGACCTCTTAGGTCTTTTGACTTTATTTAACAATAGTAAATATAATTCAGTGAACTACTGCAGAAAGAGCATACAATTGGCTATATGTGTAACTTTTCTATATTACTTATTTAAGGAGTCTACTTAAAAGTTCTTTATCAATTGCTATATCTAACACTTCTGCTTGGATATTTCATTTTAAACCCTTTGAATCTGCAAATCTGTTAACTTCACTGAGTCATACCTAATACTCAGATTATTATCTTAACCTTAGAACTATTTTATCCTTAAGGTAAACTCTCAGAGCCTTCTGTACTCATTTTTACAGCTGATCTAAGTATCACTATAACAGAACCAACACTTGTAGTCAGGACTTAACTATTAAACTGCTATGCTCTTGTAGAGTTCACTTAGACTCTAGCATCTACTTCATAGTATAACCTTAGTACTTTAGTATATCTTTGCCTTTTTATCTATCTTTTTACCAAATTTCCAATCCAAATAGCCTATGTAGGATTATAACCAGTTTATTAGTATATCTGGTTAGCTTAATATTCTTTTTTTTTAGTTCATTCTAGCAGTTTGGTTGATGGTACTTCCAAGACTTTTAACCTGAAGGTTCTTGCCCATTCAGATACTATGACTAGGTATTATAACCTTGGTATCTGTTTCTCAGACTAGTTTTTACAGTAGAACTATCAAAGATCCAACTATCTCTTTACTTGGGTCTTTCCAAATAGACTTCTTATTACTTAATTTCAATGGATTTATATAGCCACAAGGACTTATTTAGTGTTTGCATCACCTGATTGCCAGTTTGCATTCTTTTGTATAACCACAGACCTTGTTTCAAAGAACAATGTTACATGACTCTTATATGAATGCTCCATGACCTGCCAGTTATGCTAGTGCAACTACTATTACAGGTATTCTAACTTAATCATTAGTAACAGTTGTTATAATATGAATATTATATAGATGTTATCCAAATTTTTGTCATCGATGGGATTTGAACACCCAACCTACCACTTAAAAAGTTAACAACCTAACCACTTCACTAGGTTATCATATCTCTAATCTATTATTTTGAATCCTAATACAATTATATATTTTAATAATAAATTAAAGTTATAAGCTTATATTTAGTAATATTGAGTATAAAATAATAATAATAATAATAAAACTACTAATATAAAGAATATGAAATATTTTATTCTTTTAAATTGTTGCCAAATGTTTATATAATATAGAACTAACAAAGTATATTTCTATATACAAGTTTTTTAACTTTTAGTTTAGTAGGTTGATGCTTATCAATTATAGTATAAGGATTTTATACTTGGTTAATAATATAGCTATAAAGTTATTTAAATCCATTATTATTTAAAAGATTTTTATAATGCTATAAGTGCTTATAT